TCTCAGTGAGGCAGCTGTCTGGATAATGAAGTTGTCTCAAACTAGAGCATTTTTGTGGAATTGGTGATGGACGGTGCCATGCAGAATTATGCCTTTTAGGTCCCCTCTTGTTGAATTCTCTGCAATATTTTAACTTGCATGTCATACTTTCTTTTCCAAGTCATGCATGTGATACTCAAAATCCTTGCATGTTACGTGTGTGTAGCTATAATTATGATTTCCGTTAGTTTAATTTCTGCTTATTGGCTGCTAATTCAGCTGTATTTCCAAGAATAAATGTGAGGGACCCATACAAACGACTTGGAATTAGCAGGGAAGCTTCTGAAGATGAAATTCAAGGGGCAAGGAACTTTTTAATTCAAAAATATGCAGGGCACAAGCCAAGTGTGGATGCAATTGAATCAGCACATGACAAAATTATCATGCAAAAGTTCTATGAGCGGAGGAACCCAAAAATTGACTTGAAGAAGAAAATGAGGGAAGTAAATCAATCTCGGGTTGTTCAGTTTGTGAGAAGCAGATTTCAAACTCCATCCACGAAGTTCATTGTAAAAACATCCGTTGCATTCTTGTTGCTCGGAGCTCTTACTGTTCTTTTCCCAACTGAGGAAGGGCCAACGTTTCAGGTTTTAATATCTCTGGTAGCTACAATGTATTTTATATACGATCGGCTGAAGAGCAAGATCCGGACCTTACTTTATGGGTATGTAAAGCATGACATTTTGCAATATGCATTACTATGGGGTATTCCCAGTTAAGCCATGTTTCTGCAATGTTTTTATTCACATCTATCATCCTTATGTTGATATAAATAATTGCAGTATGATAATTGTATAACTGCTATACGTCTTAAGGATTTAACTATAAGCTTTGTTGCTCTGTGCAGGGCTGGCTCATTTGTTCTTTCCTGGCTATTAGGAACTTTCTTGATGGTGTCAGTAATTCCTCCTATTCCTATAATTAAGGGACCAAGAACTTTTGAAGTGATGTCTTCATTGATAACATATGTTTTGTTATGGGTTTCATCCACCTATCTTAAGTAGTGCTTCCTTGTTTATCACCTTAGAATTGGATGTGTGGGAGGTGGAATTTTTGTATTTGTTTTGTTTGGTGTGATAGAATCAGGCTTCCTAAGGAATTCCAGTTCTATTAAATTGTTCATAACCTGGTTCCTCCAATAACACTTCCACGAAATGAAGAGGGCATGATAGCATCTAATTGCAGGGCTAGTTTTCTGTGGGCTTGCCTTATTCTGACGTCGCATTGTGAATAAGCACTGTAGTTTAAGCACGGTTTGATTAAATTAAGAAAATTATGTAAGTTAGTTAATTACGAAAAATATAACATGTTTTTTTAAAATACCATAATCATCTTATTTAATATTCTCCCTTTCTTTCTTACTTGATTATGGGTAATAAAAATAATTTTAAAAAATTGATAAATATGATACATAAGCATTATATTTATAATTAAAATTAACTTAACAATTAAGTATAATATTAAAAATTGGAAGAGTAGTTAATTATTAATATCAGGTGAAAAAAATTAATACTTATTCTTTGTTAAAGCAAGTTTTTGACATAATATATAGGAAAAATTGTAAATAAAGACTCTTTAATATATAAAATTGTGATTTGGGATCTTTAATTTGGAAAATAACAAATAAGAACCTAATTTTATTTTTGCAAATATGAAGTCATGATGAAACGTCTAAAATGTCTCTCAACTAAATAACAAGTTAACTATAGAAAATAATAAATTCACTTTAGTGAATGGCAATTTCAATAAATCAAATCATAACTTGACTGAGGGTATGTCAAATGGTGAGTTGATTGTGGAAAATGATAAGTTTACTTTAGCAAATGACAATTTCAGTAGACTAAATTATAATTTGATTGAGAGACATTTCAAACATTTCATCCACATTTCATATTTGCAAAAGTGAGACCCGGTTCTTATTTGTTATTTTTCAAATTCAGGTCCCAAATCACAATTCTACATATTAGAAGTTTTTATTTGCAATTTTCCCTAATATCTAACTTGATATATTTTTTTTAGTTACACTCAATTATTTGCTTGTAAGTAGAGGAGTGCGTTGTTAATTTTATAGTAGTATTATATATTTATATTCATATTGGGATAATCTAATGACTATATTACTAAAAAAAACTAATCCATTTTTATTTTCTTTGACTAAATATCACATATTTTATGTCTTATGAGTGGGTGTCGGAGATTCCAAAATGGGCCAATATCTTTGTATATTGCTCACACTTTGAATAATGGTTCTATTCTGATATTTATATTATTAATATCAATATTTTCATTTATCTTTAATTAAAATTAAAAATGCAATTAGTGAAATTTAAAACTCTTAAAAATATAAACGATAATTGAAACTCTTAAAAAATTTGAAATCTTAAAAAAGGTAAATACAATGCTTAGTTGTTCACCTGTTTGCTCTTTTTTTTTTCCCTTTATACCTTTAAACCATGAGTTCTAATTCCTTAAATTTTTTTTTAATCTAAAATGTTAGTCTCTCCATTTTAATAAGAACCCAAATCATATCACAATAACGGAAATGTGATATGGGCCTCTCTCTGCTACCTCTCCTATGTCCCAATATCGGAAAACGAACTCTAAAACACCATATCACAATATGTGGATGCATCTGGAAATTGGCACTGGGATGCTTTTAGAGCAATCCTACCTCAAGATATAGTTAATCGAATTGCTGAACTCCACCCACCTCTAGCAAGTGATCCCCCAGCCACCCGTACATGAACCTACACGGGCAAATTGTCAGTGCAGGCTGCTTATACTTTATTAAAAGAGGAGCAATCGAATGAAGAAAGCAGGAAGTGGACCATCGTGTGGAAATGGCCGGGCCCCCAACGGATCCGTACTTTCCCTTGGCTAACCCTAAACAATAGATTGCACACTAATAGAGAAAAGGGATGTTTAGATAAAACCAAACCATGGTTTGAAGAATAGCTTCTGGAGAATAGATTCTGAAGAAAATAGATTTTGTGAAGAATAGATTTTGTGAAAAAATGATTCTGAGAAGTGAGAGTGTTTGGATAGTTATTATCAGAAGTACTTTTTATATGTGAAAATTACTAAAAAGGGCATAAGTTAATATGATAATTACATAAAATATAGATTTTATAATATATTTTAATTTGAAGGAACAAAATTGTTAATAATATATTTTTTTACCAACATAATTAATAGTATATAAGAAAACATAATTAATAAGTAATTAACATGTGTATATATATTTATAAAATATAAGATTAAAAATGTTTCTGGAAAAAATAAATATTTTTTACCAACAGAAAAATATTATTTTATTTTAAAGATTATAAATATGAAATATCATGATATTTTTTGACAAAATAAATAAGCACACGTTAAAACAATTTATTACTTATTATAGTAATTATCTTTTTCGCTTTATAATTCTTTCAGGCTCACTCTCCTGCTGCGTCAGGACCAAATGACCATAGACCATTCCTCCACACCAGCAACGCAAGCGAGTCAAGGGACATTTTTTGTCCAAATAATTTCTGACAATTCAACAACAAAAACTTCAGCACCAAAAGTAAGATAATTTTGCTTTTCACAGAACCACGGTTTTAAAGGTTAAAACCATGGTTTCATCTGAAACCATGGAGATGAAACCATGGCTTCAAAATATTGGAGGTTGTTTGGATAGCATTTTATCCAAACTATGATTTTGTCTTCAAAACCATGGTTTGAGATGTTATCCAAACAGATCCAAAGAGTGAGACGCTATATGGCAACATATGACAGGTGTCAAATTTGTGGAGAGGGACCAGAAGACATTAACCATATCCTCAGAACCTGCAAAGAAGCAAAAACATGCTGGTCTATTATATTGCCTAATTGTGAGATGGCCTGCCTAAACGCACAACCACTTGAAGAATGGCTCAAAGGAAACCTCATGATCAATCACGAAAAGCCCTCATGGAATGTTCCTTTGGTATTATGTGTTGGAAGCTATGGAATGCGCGGAACACTTGTTTGTTTGCTCATGAACACAAGCACGCATTCAGCCTAATTAATGAAGCCATCGATCTGACCAATCATACGTTGGAAGCTTTTAGCCCTCTCAGAGGCATTAGCATAGGATAACTTGTTCTTTTTATTTTTCCTTGTTTGTTTCCTCTCAGTGTACCACCCTTGTACATTTTTTTGATTAATAAATCCTCTCTTATCCAAAAAAAAAAAAGAACCTAAATCATTTAACTTTTGAAGGATCAGTACTAAAATGAGAACAAATTATAATAATTAAATATTATATTACTCTTTTTAAGAAAGAATACTAGAATTAAATATTTTCTGAGTTAATTTTTTCGGTATTTGTCTTTTAGATTTTCAATACTCATTTCTAATACTTTAATAATCGAGTAATTTTTTCGGTATTTGTCTTTTAGATTTTCAATACTCATTTCTAATACTTTAATAATCGAGATTTTTTTAATTTTTTTAATAATCATCTTAGATATTTTTAACACCTATATTTAATGCTTTTTAATACTAAAAATGTGGAAGTTGAATATCAAGAAACAAGAACATCTAATATGATTAATACAAAATTAGAAAAAATAGTACTGAAAATGTAAAAAAAAAAATATTAAAAAAATATGAAAGATGAATAGTGGAAAACATTAGCCAGGAAATTGTAATTTTAAATTCAACCAAAGACGATCATTCTCATTTGAAATTTTATAATTTCAAGTTTTTAATTGTCATTAATTCTTTTGTTGGGTTCTCGCAAGAATAATTCCATAATTTTTTTTTCCTTTAAAGGTGAAAGATTTCTTCTTGTCGTATCTTAACTCCTCTGCGTTTTGCGCCATCTTCTTTCAACCGCCACACAGACGCGTCTCTTGGCTCTGTTTTTCTGATCGTTGCTCCGCCAGAAACGTTTATACAAACCCAAATCGCAAAGTTCCCTTCTCTTTAACGTAGAATTCTGTATCGCACCATAATAGCCGTAATGGAAAATGAGCCTTTGCTCTCATATTACAGTCCCAGAAAGCGTCATCCACCTTCGCATCTCGCGCCTCTGGCGGAGAACGACGAGGTGGTCCTTCCTCTGAACGCATCGGAGATCAAGGAGCGCCTTATCTTCGGGCCGTCGACTCCTGAAGATTCTGCAGCTTTAGTTGAAGCACTCACGCTTTCGCTTAATTCCCCAAGACAGCATTCTTCTTCACACGACCTTTTAGCTGCTCTCCTCGAATCACAATCTCAACTTCCCCGAAAATCATCCTCAAACCCTGCCGTTCGTCGTTGTAAAACGGCACCGGCTATGGCGGTGATCCCCGAATTCAACCACCAGCAATCCTCTGAGCCTAAACCCCAACGTAACTCAAATTCAATTGTTTCCCAAGCGGTTATCCTTCTTGTTATCTATTTATCATTGGGGGTGGTTATATATTCTCTCAATCGTCATAATTTTACTGGAAGTGAGACTAACCCTGTGGTGGATGCCCTCTATTACTGTGTGGTGACAATGTGCACAATAGGATACGGTGACATTACTCCCACTAGTACAGCGACCAAGCTTTTTTCTATTCTGTTTTCGTTGGTGGGATTTGGGTTTATTGACATATTGCTTTGCGGGATGGTGATTCATGTTCTTGATTTGCAAGAGAGTCATTTGCTGAAGACAATGAAGAGATCATATGTAATTGATGCCAAGAAAGGGAGAATGAGGATTAGGATGAAGGTGGCCTTGGCATTGTTGGTTGTGGTGCTTTGTATTGGGGTTGGTGTTTGTGTGATGCATTATGTGGAGAAACTTACATGGGTGGATTCTTTCTATCTTTCTGTGATGTCAGTTACAACTGTTGGCTATGGTGACCAGGCATTCAAATCATTTTCTGGTCGTATCTTTGCTGCAATTTGGTTGCTTTTGTCTACTCTTGCAGTTGCCAGGGCTTTTCTTTATTTAGCTGAGGCAAGAGTGGATAAGAGGAATAGAAGAATGGCAAAGTGGATTCTTGGTCATGATTTGACTGTTTCTGATTTTTTTGCTGCAGACTTGGACAATAATGGCTGTGTGAGGTATGCACTCTGCATCTTTATCTCCTAATTGTTGAATCGTTTCTTAGTGGCAGTATGCTTTTAATGCAATATGTTCCTTTTTTTTTAAAAAAAAAAAGTGAGATGTCATTTTTCAAATGTGAAGAATCTATTGTCAAAATTCCTAACTTATAATAACCTTGAAGCATAGAAACAGAGATGCTGCATGGGCTCTAGAAGTTCTTTAGAATTAAAAGAATTTCATCAAGTTAAATGACTTGTCAGTTCTACTTATGACCTTGATGTGTGTGTGTGTGTGTGTCCCCCCCCCCCAACCTTCAATTGACACCCTTTAGATTGTAGGAGGTTAGTTGATTTGGATAAACAAAGATTATAGAACTTTCTGTTTCTTCTCTTTTGCATGATCTTTAAGCCTTCTATTCCGAAAACAGAGAAGCTCTTTAAAGGGATGCATGACATAACAGAAAAAGATCTATATACCCAAAAACAGAGAGAAGTGTTTTCGTTTACATGCATTTTACTTTTTTTGAGATTTTCTTTTCTTTTGGTCTCAGTTGTTGTATGTTGCATTTGGCCCATGTTGCCATGTTATGCTTTCTTTAGTTAACACTTTAGGAACAATTACACTAAAGCATTTAATACAAATGGATGCAATAGTGGACATAGTAGAATTTCTATTGCTCATACCGCAATGAAATGAATTGATTTGTGTGAACTTTATATGTGGTACCTCTTGAGGTCAATGCTTTTACGCTACATCTCTCTTGGCACTCAGGACTATTTTACAGTGCATCCCGTTATATTGCTTTTGTTCCGATCATGCTTAGGAGGAATTGGGATTTTGGTTCTTTTTAAGGAAAAAATGGACAAAACGGTGTTTCATTCAAAGTTAAGAGCAATTAAGAGACTAGAGAGTAGTGGGATTGGCATTTTTGACAATAAAATGGAGGGTCAATTTCTTCATGCCCTGTTCTCATTTTATCATCACATATCATTTACACATTTCAGACTTAATAGTCAATGTTTCTAATGGGTTTTTAAATCACAAAAGCAAATGCCAACTAATGTGCATTATGTGTAAACCTTGATATACATTAGTTGGCTTGGCAAGACTTTGTGCTCAATCATCAAGACAATTTACATCTTTTTCACTCCTGATTACATGGAACATTCATAAAGAACTTCACATCATCATCGGCTTTTCGCAATAGATGAGCTGGTTTTTACAGACTGATCAGCTTTATTTGAATTTATTGGCTAGCAGATCTGTTTGATCTTTCAGATCACCTGTGCATCCTTGAACAGAAATCCTAAAAGCTTGCATCTTTTTCATCCGCTAGCATACATATAAGTAAATAGCATTACTTTATAACAATCATTGTAATGCATGTTTCTACAAGCATGTGATCAGCCTTGGTTTAATCTAACAGATCAACGATCTTGTTCTTGATCCATTTTCTGTTATTTCTTATGAAACTTGCTATCACACAATGGTATAATAGGTAGCTCATTCCGATAAAGACAAGCTATCTCCGTGCTTACCTTTATACCGATCATATGTTCTATTTGTTTCTGATGAGTTAGGTCTCATTTGTTCGGAATCACATATTCAGTATTTCCAATCTTTCCTTGAATCCCATATCTGTAATATCACCATTGGACATCTTCAGTGGTTCATACTTTGAACAATGCTTGTTTGTTTTGATTCAATATGTGATGACTCATCCTGTGATCTTTCTCATTATTTTGATTTTGGACCTGCAGTAAATCAGAATTTGTTATATACAAGCTCAAGGAGATGGGAAAACTGGCAGATAAAGACATCATGCTGGTCGGTGAGAAGTTTGACCGGCTAGATACCGGTAAACGTGGCTATATAAAACTTGCTGATCTCATGGAGGCTAATCTTTGATAATATAATACGGTTATCTTTAAGTGCAAGAAAATGAAGAAATTTCTGCGTCTTCACCAACATAATCAATTGAAGAGGAGGAATATCATGTTGTCTAGTTTCATGCTGCTGTTCATTCCCTGACCCTTCGTTGTGTTCATTGAGATAAGGCATAAATGTTGAAGGTGAATGCAGCACAAGAAACCATATTTATGTCATATTTTTTGTCGTTTTGGCCAGCGTAGTTTGGCGGTTTGTTTAGAAAATAAAAACATGATGAGAGTATACGATTCCTACACTTCATGTTCATGTTACCCAACAACTGGATTTTTTTCCCCTTATAAGAAAAAAGATTTCGTACGCACAAGTTTGTTGGAGAAATAATAACAAAAACTTGGAGAAGTGTATTGAAGTTGTCATTCCTTGAAAATGTGTTTGGTTCTATGGCAAAAAACTTCTTTCCATGCCCGAAGCAAAGGAAACACATTTAGTCTAGCATATATTATTAAAAGAATCAATCTAATTTTCAATCAAGTTTTTTATGTCTACATTAATTAAATTATTTGAGCTTCTGTACCAATATCAAAACAACATTAAACTAATGACTATTTTACCAAAAAAAAATAAATAAAAATGGGAAAAAATTTTACATTATTCAAAACAATCTTAGTCAAAATTAGGAATTGAGCATAATAAAGGATAAATTAATAAATAAAATTTATAAATTTTGATTAAAAAAACATTTTTTTAAAAATTCTTAACTCTGTCACTGTGTGTATCCAAAATAGAAAAGATGTCTGCAACAGAGCTTACACTATTTTACTTTATAATCAAACATTCTTATATGGTGCCAATATAGAATGTTTAATTGTGACTATCAGACACTTGAAGCAAACACACATCAACTCATTGAAAGGTGATTTGGGGCAAGAAGGTGAGGCTGGTCATCGTGTTTGCTAAATATTTTCACAACAGTATCAAGGCAAAATTCAAACCCACTATTTATAATATCGAAAAATTTAAGTCGAGTTATAAAGGGATAATCCATCTAAAAGCCGAAAAATATATTCGGAGTTCCAGGACTGGCTACCTACCATTAGAGTTTCTAAAACTGATGAACGTTCAAGCATTTTCCAGTAATGCAAAACTGAAATAGAAGCGCTAGTGACAAATTTTTAACAGTTATAATGTTAGCCCATACATGAAAGAACCAAATTTATTATGCCTGAGCAGATCATACAAATCTAACAGCAAAACAGGCCAAAAACAGAGGCGTGGGTTGAACAAATCAAACTTAAACACAAACCATTGGGGGAAAAAGAAGAGTTCATCTTGCGATGTTGAAAAAGGGAAATCAAGGGCGTCGTAAATTGAGGGGAGGTAATGTAAGTAAAACCTGTGAGACAGAGGGACAAGACATTATTCCATACAGGGAGAACCAAACAGTACCGAAAAGAAGGGGAAGAAAAAGAAACAGATTGTCATTCTTCTCCGTCAACCCAGAAAGTAGGAAAGACATTGAGTCATTCCTCTGCTATCATCTACAACGAATGAAGAAAAGACATATAGGAATGACAGTTTATTATGTTTTTAATAAATCTAACTATTTCAACATATTATATCTTATTTATTAAATAAATGCAACAATTTCAATAATCATAATATATCATAAGACTCGTTATTTTTTGAACACCTATATACTAAAGGTGTTTTTATCAAATTTGTCTAAGCACAGATCACTTTGGTCAAAATCATGTCATTATAACGATGTAACATTCAAGCAAAAATCACATTAAAGAAATATTAATCCTAAACAAAGTCAGGTTCACCAAATTAATTTGAGGAGGTTTATTGTAGAGTTTGATTGACTGATTGTTACTCCCTTTCTATGTTCAGTGAAGGCCTAAACAAGCATTAAACTGATATAAATCAGAGGTTGACATGGCTATGACGAGAACAGGGAAAAATGATTGGCTATGGAGTCAATTATATGATCATGGTTGTTGTGCATGACTCGGGTACCTAAAACTGGAATTGGCATGGTTCTGGGTCAAGATATCTCCTAGTAATTTCATATGATGTTACTCCTCCGGTCCTAAATGTAAGACCCTTATACACACTAGTATAAGGGTCTTACATTTAGGACCGGAGGAGTAATAAATTTTGCCATTTGGATCTGTTTTTAGAGAAAATGACATAGAACTAATATGAAGGAAAATTAATAATCTTAAGGACATGAATAGATTGACAATCATGGTGTGGGGATTTGAATAATCTGGTTTCGAGATTCATGGCCGAAGATATAGCAATCATTTTCTATTGACAATATTTTGAAAATAATTTTATGATATATTAAGTAAATATGAGAGATTAATTTTATTTTAATTTGCATGAAAGTATTTTTTTTAAGTATCATTATTGAGTTAATTAATGAAGTTCAATTGTTTGAATTGCATGGGTTAACATAATTATATGAACTTATAATGAGAATCACACATGCAATTTGATGGAAAGTTTTATAGCCCTAAAACATTTTATAACTAAGTTATAAATTTGTTTCAAAAATTTTTATTCATGAGTATTGGGCAACCAAAATTTTGTTGTCCACATTTGCCCCACCAATTTTACTTATTACCGTTTAAAAATTAACGTTAATTTTTACATCGATCAGTAACATTTTTAATAATAAAATTTAAAATTGTTGCTATTTTAAATTTTCAATACAAATTTGATTTAAAAAACTTCTGCCCACCTCAATGAAAACTTTGAGGACATTTACACATTAGCCCAATTTTTCATTTGAATTCTTTTTCCTTAAGTGTGAAGATACGCAGGAGGCAGTATTGTTCATTTCGGTGAAGTTTCCAGGCCAATAGGAAGGAGAAGAAGGAGGTCGTTAAAGCATTTCAGTATTGTTTGATCCAAGTTTTAAACGTTTTATACGCACGATCTTTGCCCAAGCCTTTTCGCACGATCCAGTTTTAAACGTTCTATACGTACGATATCCCACAGTGCAAGCTTTAATTGGCCGGATGTTTCGAATTACACATTTGCCCCCCACTTAATTTCCAGAGAACTAGTTATTGCTCCGGAATTAAAATAGATGGGTTTATTTTAATTCTAAATGTAAGTTATGATTACACATTATTTCATTCTTCTAAATTCTCCTTTTATTACATGGTTTTTTTTAATGACAATAATGATTTTTTATACAAATAATTAGGAAAAATTTGACAAAAACAAACATATATTAATTTATAAATAAATTTTTTCAACTCTAAGTCTCTAATTAATTATCTAACTTCTAGATATAAATAAAAAGAAAGGAATAGTAAATAGCATAATTATGAATATGATCTAGCATGACGTGATGTTTGTGCTTAGATTTCCTTCTCTATTATAAATACATATATACTCTCCTGGCCCCGGACTCAAAATGCAACCACAGAGGACAGAAGAGGTCACTGCAATGGGTTCCACCATGGCCACTCCTTCAGCTTCAATTTGGTTAGTACTCTGTTTTCCCCACATGTTTTCTCTTGCTCTGTTTCGCCCCTTCCTTAGCACAGAGCCATTCCTAACAGTTCTTTTGTTTCTTTTTTTTTTTCCTGTTCATATTTGATGCAAATCAGTCCCAATAAGTTCATAGAAACAGCAAAGAATTTTTATAGTAAAATGAGTTCGTTGTTTTTGGTCATCAGAGCAAAGATCAAAGATTTTGGAGATGCTGTCGTCGCTGCAATGAGGTAAATAATCCGTTTCTCAGTTCTTCTTCTTCTTCATCTACATCATCGTCAGGATATTTAAGGCTCCAGCTTATATCATTGACATGGGTCAGGAGCATTGAGATTGATCTTCTCAAAGAAGCACTGGATATATTCTACGACTGGTTTACTTGGTTCATCGGCTCAATCTTTGCCTTGAAGTTCACTGAGACAGGGAAGGCTTTCTTCTCTGCAAACTACTCTGTTATGAAGGCCATGTTCCTGATCAGATTCGTTTCGCGTTTGACAACTTTGTTGGCAACGCTGTCTCAGATGCATAAGAGGAGCATGGCTCCACTCCTTCTGATGCTTCTGCTCGACAGCGGAACTTCTCTTTTGGCCCTGAGCATGATTTCAAGGCCCGTTCTGTGGACCTCTTTGGCCATATGGCTCTGTATCTTTGTGCTGTTTGGTTATTGCTGTTTTCCAGAGCTCAAAGACCAGATCTCACAAATCAAGACATGGCTTTGGAATCACGACCCAGAAGGTCCATCCCTGCCAGTGGTCACAGAGCCCGCCCCTGCTGAATAGTAACGTGTTTGATGTGTCTCTTGTTTAAAATCCTTGCTTCAGGTTGTTATGTGTCTGTTGTACCAGAAGTATTTAGTCCTGTGTTATTCCTGATGAGAGAGGTTTTGGTCGGAATGCAGTCTTCAATTTAAAAACCATTAAATAGTCGTATAAAAGAAAAGTGGGTGTTTGTGTTTTTTTAGGTTACATATATATACACATGATGGTATCTTGGTATTGCATTGTTGTAACTAGTGATAATGCTTGTGTTGTTTGAATGGATTGTTTACTTCTTATTATTATTGGTCAGCATCATTTAATGATTGGTCTTCGAAATTTCAACTAAAAAAATTTAAATTAACCGGCAAAAAAAAAACTGAAATTTTAAATGAGATTAGAAGTTGACGCTAATGTTTTTCAGAAGCATAAAATAATCATTACAGCTACAATGATAATACAATGATAATACTACCTCCCATCCTAAATATACAAATTGTCTAATTTGAATAAATTAAAAAAATAGTTATTTATAATAAATAGGTGCCGTTTTTTCAAAATATTCTTGCCAATCAAATCTATTAATTAAAACTACTATTATTATAAGTATCTTGAAAAAAATGAATAAATATGATAATAAAATAATTAGAGTCTTATATTTAAGATTAAAATAAAAGTCAAACAGATTTTATATTAAGGAGTAAAAATAATATTATAAGTACAATCACCAATGAAGTTTATAACAATATCTCTTTCTAATTATTCTCAAAATAATATTGGCAACAAAGCACCATTTTTGGGCTCCCGCCATTTCGAAATCCCACCTTTTGTCTCCTTTTGAGGAGCGACGTCGTTCGCGGCGAGTGCGGGAGATTTTTGGGGTTCTCTACTTCTCTTCCTCTTCCCGACGACCGCCGCGCCCAAGTTTCTCGATCACAGCACTGTAGCTTCTGCTTTTCAGCTTTCTTCTTCTCCTTCTTCACCTCAATCCCCACTTCCTTCTCCGCATAGGAACACTCCTCGTAGCATTGCGAGGAAGGTTTATCCATGGATGACGCTAGCACCACGCTTCGCATACTTGTAGCTACGGACCGCCACCTTCTCTACATGGAGAAGGACGAAATACGACGTGACGACTCATTTTAAGCATTTGATGAAATCTGCTCAACAGCTGAGCAGAAGCAGGTAATTCCCTCCTTTTTACTTAATCGTTTTTTCCTTTATACTTCTTCTATCCGCAATGTGCTTCTCTACTTGCCTATGTTATTGTGCTGCTAGATTAGTTTCGTTGATATTCTATTGAGTTGCTTCTAGTTCTTCGGAGTGAGCATTTGTTTCTCGGAATTGGAAAAAAACGACGAAAAGAAAAAACCTTTGCGGCTCAAAAACTGGTTTATGGAAAATTGCTTCTCTCCTCAATCCACCGCATGTTGTTTTTGTTTCAAAATATGCTTGGTGTGCATGCGATTATATGTCAGCTCATGAAGAGCATTTGATGGGATGTATTTGTATATGGTGTCAGGTTGATTTTTTATTACTTGGCGGCGATCTTTTCCATCAATGATCGGCCAGTGCAGTTTGACGTTGTCAGCGACCAGACTGTTAATTTTCAGGATGTGTAAGAAATTTATGTAATTAGCAACTAATTTTGGCTCTTGCTCATTGCTTCTGTAGCAATATATAATCATATTTAGGCCATCATCTTCTAGCATTTTCTCTGCTCTTTAATCCTTTTTCTGCTTAGACTGATTCTGCTGCATATACTTTCTGTTTACCTTGCTTTTGCTGATGAACACTCGATTTAATGGTTACAGAGAAGTTAACGTGCGATCACATATTTATGTTTGTTCATGTTATAGATTCTTGGGCATTCTCTTTGCAACTGTGAAATACCTAAAACTAAAAGCTTAGCTTCGCTTGGTTCAACTTGTTTCTTTTCTTTTGTTTTTTAAACAGATTTCGTCATGTGAATTATGAAGATCCTCCCTTCAATGTGGGCTCGCCAGTTTTCAGCATTCATGGAAATCACGATGATCCAGCAGGCGTGGTATGAATATTGTTATAAAATTATATATATAATTCTTGGACCATTAATTACTTTGATTGTCTGGGCTATTGTTTTTGATAAGGGCCAGGGCTATTGTCGTTTGCTTAAAGTTCTTCTGTTTCTTATTTTTACAAAATACAAGACTTCAACAGGATGCTATTCTGGTTTCTTACTGATAAACCTTAATAATTGTAAAACAACTCTGGTGTCCTTGAGTTGGGGGTTCAATGTTGCATTTGAGTCTGACCAATTAAGTAGGCTGGAAGCAAAATAACACATTAGAAAGTCCTCAACAGTTGCTCGAGACGATTGTTCTGGTGCTGGTTGCATTGGAGCACTCCTTTCTTTGAATGTTGACCTTTGATTGTAAAAGGCATATTGGTTTTAAGTTTTTAGTTATTCATCATCAGAAATTTTGTTGGTTAAATTTGAAAATCACATAATACATGTGTTGCCTGTCGGAAGAAGCACAAGTATCATTCAATGTCATTTGAAAGGCACAACTCAACCTTTATTTTTTTGTGAGGGGCCAGGAACAGCGAGAATATGAAAGGAGTCATGATCTCCCGTCAGGAGTTGGACATTACAAGTGGTTTCTTTCTTTTTATAGTTCTGTGTGGGCAATAAATAGTTTTGTGGATAGACATTCATTTTCTCATTATCCAATTTGCAATACTAGGAAAAGAAGACCTTGTTATTTGGATACTTTCTTTGGCACTTCTTTTTAAAAAAGTGTAAACAAGATGCGGTACTATTTTTCTTTTCTTTTTTTTTTTTTTTTGGGTCTCTAGAGAGCATAAATAAACTTTCAAGTGTAGGAAGAAGATACTCTCAGCGTGCCCTTCCCCCAGCGTCTCTCAGCGTCCAAATCATAGCCATTGAAATTAATCTAACAGCTCATATAATGCCATATCATTATGCTATAACAAAATAGAAATAAATTTTAAACACAATGTGAAACTTTTTACCAGCTTTAAACTATTATAAGATCTTTTTTTAGCATGAAATATCCCATTTTTTCACTTGCATCATTTCAACCAGAGAATTTATGAGAGCTCCAGACCCCAGAACGATTTAGATAACGATAAAAAATGAAAAAACTTGAACACTAAATATTTATATATAATTTTTTGGAAGGAAGATTTATCTCAGTTTAGTTTGATACAAATCGAGTCAGACAGGACCATAAAGAGTGGCAATATGCTTTTCATGCAATAAGTTCTTTTTTTCTTTTAAAAAAGAAGTGAGATGTCATGTTTCAAATGTGAAGAATCTATTGTCAAAATTCCTAACTTATAAGAACCTTGAAGCATAGAAACAGAGATGCTGCATGGATTTCAGAAGTGCTTTAGACTTAAAAGGATTTCATCAAGTTTATTGACTTGTCAGTTCTACTCATGACCTTGATGTGCGTGCGTGCGTGTGTGTTTTCTTTTTTCACCCCCTCTAAATTGACTCCCCTTAGATTGTAGGAGGCTAGTTAGATTTGGATAAACAAAGGTTACAGAACTTTCTGTTTTTTCTGTTTTGCATGATCTTTTTAGCCTTCTATTCCAAAAACAGAGAAGTTCTTTAAAGGGATGCCTGACATAACAGAAAAAGAACATCTATATACCCAAAAACGGAGAGAGGTGTTTTCATTTACATGCATTTTACTTTTTTTGAGATTTTCTTTTCTTTTGGTCTCAGTTCTTGTATGTTGCATTTGGTCCATGTTGCCATATTATGCTTTCTTTAGTTGACAGTTTAGGAACAATTATACCGAAGCATTTCATATAAATGGATGCAAAAGTGGACATGGTAGAAGTTCTATTGCTCATACCGCAGTTAAATGAATTGATTTGCGTGAACTTTATATGTAGTACCTTTTGAGGTCAATGCTTTTCACTGCATCTCTCTTGGAACTCAGGACTATTTTACAGTGCATCCCGTTATATTGCTTTTGTTCCGATCATGCTTAGGAGGAATTAGGATTTCAGTTCTTTATAAGTAAAAAATGGACAAAACGGCGTTTGATTCACAGTTAAGAGAGAAATTAAGAGACTAGAGAGTAGTAGGATTGGCATTTTTGACAGTACAATGCAGGGTCAATTTCTTCATGCCTTGATCTCATTTTATCATCACATATCATTTACACATGTCAGACTTAAAAATCAATGTTTCTAATGGGTTTTTAAATCACAAAAGCAAATGCCAACTAATGTGCATTATGTGTGAACCTTCATATACATTAGTTGGCTTGGCAAGACTTTGTGCTCAATCATCAAGACAGTTTACATCTTAAAGCACAAAATTATGGAAGGGTTACATCTTTTTCATTTTTGATTATATGGAACATTCACAAAGAACTTCACATCATCATCAGCTTTTTACAATAGATAAGCTGGTATTAACAGACTGATGAACTTTATTTGAATTTTTTGGATAGCAGCTTTATTTGATCTTTAAGGTCACTTGCATCCTTGAACAGAAATCCTAGAAGCTTGTATCTTTTTCATTCGCTAGCATACATATAAGTAAATAACATTACTTTATAACAATCATTTAATGCATGTTTCTACAAACATGTAATCAGCCTTGGTTTAATCTAACTGATCAACGATCTTGTTCTTGATCCATATTTTGTGATTTCTTATGGAACTTACTGTCACACAAGGGTATATAGTTAACTCATTCAGAGAAAGACAAGCTGTCTTTGTGTTTACAGATTCTTTCCTTTATTCCAATCATATCTTCTATTTTTTCTGATGAGCTAGGCCTCATTTTTTTGGAATCACATATTCAGTATTTCCAGATTTATTTTGCGTATCTTTCCTTGAATCCCTTATCTGTAGTATCATCATTGGACATCTTCAAAAGTTCAAACTTCGAACGATGCTTGTTTGTTTTGATCCTGTGATTTTTCTTATTATTTTGATTTTGACAGGCAGTAAATCAGACTTAGTTATGTACAAGCCCAAGGAGAAGGGAAAATTGCAGAGAAAGACATCATCGTGGTCAGCGAGAAGTATGACTGGCTGGATGTTGGGAAATTAGGGAAAATAACACTTCCTAATCTCATGGAGGTTCATCCTTGTTAATATAAGAACCTGAGAATGGTCATCCAAAGTGGCAGAAAATTCGGTCTCTACTAACATGATCAGTTGAAGAGGAGGAATATCATGTTGTCTAGTTTCTTGCTGTTGCTCATTCCCTGACCCCTTGATCAATTATCATTGAGGTAAGGCATATATGTTGAAGGTGAATGCAGCACAAGAAACCATATACATTTTATGTCACGTTTTTTCTTTTGGCCTGTGTAATTTGGCAAGTTGGTTGGATCAGTATACAAGTACTCATCTTGCTGGAGTTCAGAGTTGAAAATATAACATGACGAGACTATGATTCTTACATTTCATGTTATACGATAATTAATTTTTCCCTTGAAAGTATGTTCAAGTTTAAGACCTTAGGTCATCATATTAGCTTATTGGGTAGGGAGTCATCATTCCTCCAAAATGTGTTTGGTTCTATGGTAAAAAGCTTCTTTCCTTGGCTGAAGTAAAGGAAGCATAATTCCCTTAGTTGAGGAAAACATCAATCCCTTATAAACGTAACAATAATGCGCACCAAACACTTCAAGATAAAGATATCCCATTCTCTCTCTATGAATATTTTCCGGGGAAGTGATGCTTTAACTGGGGAAATCCTATTGACATAGTCAATTACTGTTCTTGATTCTTTTTGCATATTTTGTCCGGGATCTTCTCTGACTCTAAATGTATGTTTGTCAAATTGTCTAAATAAAAACTACAGTTAGAACCTTTTTTTTTTCCTTTCAAGTTACAAGAGAGTGGACTCGAACCTGCAACACGCACACATGCCACTCAGCCAAGCGGTCAGTGGTTACTGATGACACGCAGAACAGGCCCAGAATGCCTGGAAAAATAATAATTCTATTCACACCTAATATCTGAAATGTACAAGAGAGCATTTACATCCACATGAGGCCCAGCTACTTATAGACCGAAAAACATTAAGCAGAGGACTACATATCCTAAATGGGCCTTCGGCCACATGGGCCCAATACTATTATGTTTCTCATCACTCCCCCTCAAGTTGGAGGGCGGAAGATATCTACAGCACCCAACTTGGTCAACACTTTGTTTAATGTTTCAGCATTCACAGACTTAGTGAGAAGGTCAGCTTCTTGTTCAGTAGAGCGAACATGATGCAACTGGATCAGCCCTTGATGTAGCTTTTCCCTTACGAAATGGCAGTCAATCTCTATGTGTTTCGTGCGCTCATGAAACACCGGATTGGCTGCAATGTGCATTGCTGCTCTACTATCACAGTGGACATCAACTGGTTCTATTTGATTGATCTCCACATCACTGAGTAGGCCAACCATCCACACAATCTCTGAAACAGCAGACCCTAACGCTCTGTATTCTGCTTCTGCAGAGGACCTAAAAACTGTAGCTTGTTTCTTAGTCTTCCACATGATTAGAGATCCTCCCAACTTCAAGAGATAACCTGTAACTGATCTTCTTGTTGTAGGACAAGCTCCCCAATCCGCATCACAGAAGCATTGGAGTCTGAAATTCCCTTCAGCACTTAGGAGTATCCCACGGCCAGGAGTGCCTTTCAAATATCTAATTACTCCAAGTGCTGCAGCCATGTGTGACTTCGTTGGAAGATGCATATACTGACTTAAGGTCTGCACACAAAAAGAAATATCAGGTCTTGTAGTGGTCAAATATATCAACCGACCTACCAACCGCCTGTAACGTCCTGGATCCTGGAGTAAATCATTTCTGCTATCCTTCCCCTCCTCATATGCTCGTAACCTCAAACTTTGAGCCATCGGAATGGTGAGTGGCTTACATCCACTCAATCCTGCATCAACAAGTAGATCTAACAAATACTTCCTTTGAGATAAGACTATTCCTTTCTTGGACCTAGCAATCTCTAATCCTAAGAAGTACTTCATGACCCCTAAATCTTTAATCCTAAAATTACTGTGCAAATGATCTTTCAAATCCTTTATTCCCTGTTCGGAATTACCAGTGATTAACAAATCATCAACATACACCAATATCAATACAAGACCATCAACAAATTTCTTAGTAAACATAGAGCAATCATGTCTACTTTGAACATAACCAGCAGCAATTAAAGCAGATGTTAATTTGCTATTCCATTGTCTAGAGGCTTGTTTTAAGCCATACAATGATTTTCTCAACTTGCATACCATGTTCTCCCCCTTGCTATCAAAGCCTTGAGGCAAGGACATATAAACTTCTTCATTTAAATCTCCTTGCAAGAAAGCATTATTAACATCCATATGATATATATTCCAATTCTTTACTGCAGCAATTTTAAAAACAAGTCTCACAGTCACCATTTTAACTACAGGGGAAAAAGTCTCATGATAGTCTATGCCTTCCCTTTGGGTATATCCTTTAGCTACTAGCCTAGCTTTGTATTTTTCTATGTTCCCATCTGGTTTGTATTTTATTTTGAATATCCATTTACATCCAATTGCTTTCTTTCCTTTAGGCAACTGGACAATATCCCAAGTTTTATTATTCTCAAGAGCCTCTATCTCACACTTCATAGCTTTTACCCAATTGGGATTTCTAATAGCTTCATTATAAGAATAAGGCTCTGAAACAGAATCAATAGTGCAAAGATAACACATATAGTTAGGGGAGATATTACCATAACTGATGTAATTTTCGATAGGGTACTTGCATTTCAACTTCCTGGTATCTGTATCATTCATATCCTTGGCTACTAGGTTACACACATAGTCCTTTGTCCAAATTGGTGCTCTTCTTTGTCGTGCAGGTCTGTCTGTGTGTCCCTCATCGGATCTGAGTTCTTGCGGCACATCTGTGAGATTACTATCCCCAACAGAAACAGCACCCTCTTTGTAAGTTAAATCCTGCATATCTGTGCTTTCAACAGAGTCAAGAAAAGGTGAGTCATCAAAATAGAAAATATCCTTTGGTTTGTGATTTACCCCCCTTTGATCGGTATTCATGCTATCTCTGTAGGGAAACTTGTGTTCCATGAAAGTTACATGTCTAGATGTGAAGAGTCTTTTTCTTTCTATGTCATATAGCAAGTATCCCTTTTGATTATGAGGGTATCCAAGAAAAACGCAGGGAATAGACCTAGGTTTTAGTTTATCCTTAATAGTCAAATCTGAAGCAAAGGCTAATGAACCAAATATCCTCAAATTAGTATAGTCAGCTGCCCTTCCATGTATTATTTCATAGGGTGTCTTGTACCCTAAAACTCTAGATGGTATCCTATTAACCAAATAAGTAGCCATTTTAACACATTCTCCCCAAAATTTTACAGGAATATTCGACTGGATCATTAGACCTCTTGAAATCTGCATTAAGGTCCTATGCTTTCTCTCTACAATTCCATTCTGTTCTGGAGTATAAGCACAACTAGTTTCATGTATTATCCCCTTTTCCCCAAAATAATTCTTCAGTTCTAGATTTGTGAACTCTGTTCCATTATCACTCCTTATTTTCTTAACATTGACACCGAATTGATTAAACACATAAGCCAGAAAGTTTTTGATGTGAACTACTGTTTCATTTTTGTGTTTCATAAGAAAAATCCAAGTAGCTCTTGAAAGATCATCAACAATGGTAAGAAAATAACAATGACCTTGATGTGTGGGTGTCCTATATGGTCCCCACACATCCATATGTAGTAATTCAAAACAGAATTTCGATTTAATGCAACTGGGAGAAAAGGGTAATCTAGTTTGTTTGGACTGAGCACAAACTTCACAATCTTTATTCATAGAGATAATTCTGCCTTGTACAAAATGCAAATGTTTTAGTACTGACAAAAGTGCATGTCCTAGTCTCCTATGAAGCAACCAAACATCAAGATCATTACAGGATTTGTTTCCTTTACAAACAGCATTCACAACATCATATTTTGCATTACAATTCAACATGTATAACCCATTTATCAATCTACCAGTCCCCTTCTTCTTCCCATCCTGAAGGTCCTGCATAAAACAATGGTTAGGAAGAAAACAGACCATACAATTTAGTTCCCTGGTAATTCTAGGGACTGAAATTAAATTGAATTGTAACTGGGGAGCATACAATATATCCTCTAGATAGAAAGTATCTGAAAATCTAACATTCCCTATATGTGTTGCTACAACTCTATCTCCATTTGGGATCTTAATCGTTTTAGGTGGTCCTTTGTATTCAGTGAAATTATCTAACAATCTTAAGTCACTTACTAGGTGAGTGGTAGCACCTGAGTCAATTACCCATCTAACAGGCAGATGATAAAAAAAGGAAGATTCAGCCAGACCTGTACCAGTAAGCGCATGAACCGCTGTTTCAGAATCCTTCTTTAGGAGTTCCAGTAGGCGCTCATATTGCTTTGGAGTCAAGGAAGTCGTGACTATGTTAGCAGAGTGTGCAGTTGAGTCACCGTTACCTCCAGTGTTCACCCCAATCTGATTTGCCATTTCTGCCTTGTTTGGTTTCGACTTGCTTCCTCTGAAATCTGGTGGATAGCCAATTATCTAGAAACAATTTTCCTTCACATGCCCCTTTTTATGGCAATGTGAACATTCCAGTATCGGTCCTCCCCTTCCCCTGCCTCTGCCACGTCCTCTACCTTGTGCAGCCATTGCAATTCCTTCAGTCGGAGCACTCATGGTTGAACCGGTGATCAACTTTTGAGCTTCGTCTTCCGAGATCATAGCATAAGCCTGGTTCACCGTGGGCAGAGGACTCATCATAAGAATCTGGCTCCGTCCTTGGTTATAGGTGTCGTTGAGCCCCATCAGGAATTGCAACAATTTCTGTTGCTGCATTACCTCCGCATAAACTTTTGAAGTATCACACTTACATGAAGGAATCGGTACCAGGGAGGATTGTTCTTCCCAAAGCTCTTTCAGTCTTGTATAATAGCTTGAGACCGAGAGTGTGGCTTGCCTAAGCGAAGAAATTTCTCGATGGATTGCAAAGATACGAGATCCAGAGGCTTTATCGAACCATTCTTTCAGGTCGAGCCAAACCAATCGTGCCTCTTGAAAGAACACAGCTCCACTCGCTAGCTCCTTCGAAATTGAATTGAGGATCCATGTGAGTACCACGGCATTACAACGTTCCCATTGATCTTTCATGCCGTCGATTTGATTCTCTTTCAAACATGAACCATCCACAAACCCTAGCTTGTGTTTTCCGAGGAGAGCAATACGCATTGCTCGGCTCCACATATTGTAGTTCTCAGCACCGGTGAGGACCTGCGACACGATTGTTGCTCCCTGTGTATCGGAGGGATGCAAATACAGGGGATGGCTGAAACTTAGAGCCGCGGCAGCCGAGTCACTGATCTCCTTTGATTCCCCCAT